GCAGATGAATCGCACGCTGCCGTCTGAAGTAAACGTCCACACGCTGAGGCTCCTTCCGCCCCTCTGCGTGGGTATTTGCTTTGCTGCAATTGTACCACAACAATAACACACATCAATGGTTCATCAAAGACGCTTTGAAGCGCTTCGTTCTTGGTGATAAATGTCATTCTTCTGAGTGAGTCATTTCAGGGTCATTCTTTGAGCTTTGAAAGGCCATGGTGTGCTAGAGGACGCTGTGCACTGGCTAGTAAACCCTCGGCTAACTACACTAACTTGTGCTCGTGACATTTAAAGGAATGTCTAATTAAATCAATTGATGTATCGTGCTGCGGTTGCTGACTTATTGTTTAGACAGCAATAAATGATCCACCGAGGATCCGTGAAATCGGTTCAAGACCTAATTGTGGGTGACTGAATTGTAAAATGTGAATTAAATATCAGTGTTTGCATCGTGAGTAATGATAAATCGCTGTTGAAGTAACAAGTGAGTTTCTCTCAACGCCTTATCTTTGAATTGTCAAGGACGTCAAGGCTTGAAGGTAAAGCAGATTCACAAAAGGCTAAGATTGATGTTAAAAAATTCCAAACGCTGAGCTCATTAATGTTATTTTTTATTATACGTACATCATTTAAAATGATCTTTTTAACTAAGGAAGCAAGAGCTGGCGTTCTTTCATTTTTAAAGAAGACTATACTATTGAATATCATTCAAAAGATTTAGGTGAAAAAGAGATTAATATTTGATTGAGAAAAGATTTCAAACATTTATATCACTCACTCATACACGCATGCACACACACACACAAGCACACACACACACCATTTAAATATTTCAAGTAAATGTGGTCATTTTGAGCTTTATGTTATAGGCGCAGTAGGTGATTGTCTTCAGAAACATTTTTGTTATGCTGGTTGAAAGTCTCTTCACATTCCAACAGTACTGATTAAAGTAAATGATCTACAGTACATGTGTTTATATGTATGTTTATATTTTGGATAAGGTATAAAACTGAAAAATGTTGAATTTAATTCCAATTAAATATTTTTGGACCGACAAATAACTTAATTACGACAGGTATCTCAAACTGTCTGTCAACAAATTTCAATTTGAATTTCTGCGCAGCCTTTTTAAGCAGACAGATACGTCACTCATGCGTTCTCGTGAAGTATGGATCACCAGCTCACAGAGACGTCAGGCAAACTCTGCATCATTCTTAACTTCTTTCTGAATGATCAGTGTGGCCTTGAATGCATGAAAAGAAAGATTGTTTCTGAAAGGGCTTTTGCCAAAAATGCAAATCAAAACTTTTCTAAACCCTGAATCAATATCGGAATTACTTTTGCACGCTGGAGGGAAATGACGTTATGCAGTTAAAAAACAACGATCTGAAGGATGACACGACGGGTGAAGTATTTCTTTTAGACAGGTGTGTTTTAAAACTATTTTAGCCACGCAAAGCTTATGTAGATTGTGTTGTTGTTTATGAATGGGTTTATATGCATAGTAGTGTTGTTCAGCCACTGAAAACGTCCAGCATAAGATTGGCTAATTTCAAGTTCATAGAGTACCTTTTACAGCATCGATAGTATAGTCGGTTAAATAGACCTGGGCATTCGTTTAGTTATTCAAATGAAAAAGGAGCTGAAAACAAGCGATGCATGAGGATCTGCAAGCACAGTTGGAAAATGAAAAATCAGTCTTTGTCTTGGTAACGTAAACATGTAATGTAAAAGGATGACAGGATATTTCTGTTTTTAGCACTCCTTTTTCTAATCTAACTTTTATTTAGTTTAATAAAAAATATAAGTATATGTGCTCTTCCGCCTAACCAGCTTTACTGAGGTGAAGTTTGATTTATTTTCACATATTTGTTCATTTTTGACAGTAGGAGCCTGTGACAGTTTTGGGGAAATATAATTCCTGCACCCGCTGGCCTGTCAACTACTACACTTGATAATGTGCGTGCCTCTATAGAGTTTTCTAACTGGTGAATGACATGATCTAGTGTTATATCTAATCAGAATGCGTTCGCGTTACTTAAGGAGGCGTGGCTTTGGAGGATCATAAAAGTTATTATGCTAATGCTAGCATTCTGGCAGATCACCTACTGCATCTTTAATTAATAAGACATAAAAAATCCATAAAAAATGTATTGCAACAGTTATTAATAAAATAATATTGCTGAGCAGTATATACACACATTAGCATGATTTCTAAAGGATCATGCGACACTTAAAGTGAGTGAAGCACACATTTTAAATCAAATTACTGTAAATTAGAGCTTTTTTTCTGATTATGACAACTGATAAAAATTACAAATGACCAAATATTGACTTTTAAACTATTACATAAAGCTGAATATGCAAGTCTGAAAATATTGTGTCTTTTCATAATTTTTATGAACAAATGTTAAAAAAAAAACATTGTGAAGAAATGTTATCAGTTGTTCACAGAATACAACAAAAATCACATTTTGCTAAAACTATCCATCTTAAACTGACTTAATTTTTGGTCACTTAAATTTCCATATAAAATATTTCCATTTTACTTATTTTTATTATATAAAACACATTCCATAAAATATCATTATATATATTTTATAATTATAATAAACCAAAGGTTCAACTTCACACAATATAAAAGTACCAGCCAGATTTGCTTAGCAATTTCACCAAAACAAACAGCAAAGCACAAAATAGCAAAAAGACATCTGGTACAAAACATGCTGCTTGTTTTCTCTCAATTCACTAAAACACCTACTAATGAAAATAATACTCCTAATCAACTGGAAATCCTTCTTTAGTAGTATAATCCATGGCAAACACTAATGTCAAATACCATTACCACTGTAAAAAAAAAGCTACCGATCTACAACAAATATGACCCTTAACAACAAAACCAGGAACACATGCCAATTTTGGAAATTGAGATTACCTGAAAGCTGAATATACATAATTTTAGCCCGGCAAGATTAATTGAAAAAAAAAAAAAAAAAAAACAACTCGATTCAACCCAATGTTTGGGAAAAGAGTAAAGTAGGTCACACAAGTCTTCACGTTGTTTCATATACTTTCTCAGCAAAATTGACACCTTCAAATAGTGTTAAAAGTGTCATATACTGTATTTATAAGGTATAATTCAGCTAAAAAATAATTTTTTGTCAATGTAATGATGTATTCGTGGTTATGAATTTACACGTGAGCTAACACACTTTTTGTTTAATACTGAGAGGACGTGTACATGCTCACCAATGATGTCTACTTTAGTGAACAGAACCTGCATAGGCTGTGAATAACAGGTTATACAGTTTGTCGCACAGAATGATTGTTTGGGAGCCGTGTGGGAAGCAAGATTTGCATGTTTGTTTGTTTTTTCGACAGCCTTGACACGAACACACTTATGAATGCAGTGAAAGTGAAACCAAAGCGCACACATCAGTTAAATGATCATGTCACATTTTAGAGTTATGATTATGACAAGCATTTTATGTTTTTCTTTGATAGTGAACACAGAGTGTTGTGCATGAGAATAAATGTTTATAACTACTTTAGCCTTTATAATGTTGAATATAATGCAAATGGAAATTTGATAATGACAAATGTCTCATTTTACCATTGAAAAAATGGTCTAACAATGTTATCGATGACAGATTACAACCATATGTCTTAAGACTAGAACTAACATGGGGTCAATTTCACCGAACACTGTCATTCAAATGTACATAACAGATCTTTAATAAAACGTTCAAGCCTACCAGTCATTGCCTTATTTACACTTCCCAGGTATAAAAAGTTTTTTTTTTTTTTTCTAGATAAAAATAGATTAAAAAGTGAGAAATTTATACCTATAAAAGATGCTTTAATTCATGCATTGCTTATGTTTGAAATTACAATTACAATTTCACTCATTGAATTAGTGGCTAAAATAAATGAATAAAGTCACAATAAGTGAAATAAGGTGATTTGTAGAGCTATTAAAAATACACAATGCAATGATTTATTGAGAGTCTGGAGAAATAAATTATGCATTATGCAAATTTTGATATTTTACCTACTTATGAATATTCAAACTTTACTGTTGTTGTTTTCTTAAAATAATCTTGTTATCCTGAAATAATTATTTCATGAGACTTTACACTTTTTGTTACCAGTGGCAAAAAAACAGAATAGTATGTTTGTTTGTTTTGTAGCCATTTCTAAACAAAATTTGTGCAGGGTAAAATTTACCCACACTGGCAATTTTAGGTATACAGCAACCTCCGGCAGTTCTAGTGTTAAACATAATAATTCAACTTTTTTTTCAATTATGAATAATTGCATTCTGATGTCATCACTTTACTCTGAATAAACAAACAGGACATATTTAAAGTCTATTTAAGTCCACCTTTCGAAATCTATACCATATTCTGCATTTTAGCCAACATTAGACCTACAGTACACATTAGCCTAGTATTATTAGTGTTGTTTTACCATATTTATGAGAAAAAAACAATAATAGCCTACTCATATTAACCTTTTTTTTTTACATCTAAAGAATCATGAGAAAATCATGATTTTGATTTTAAGCAAAAAAATTAAATAAATTTAAAAATTGTGATTCTCATTTTAGACAGATTCGTGCAGCCCTATATGTTTTCCATTAATGTATGGTTTGTTGTAAGATGAAAATATAAGGCTGATATGCGACTATTTGATTATTCAAATAAATCTACACATAAAAAAAAACTGCCTTTAAAGTTGTCCAAATTAAATTCTATGCAATGAATATTGCTTGTTAATAATAAAGCGTTAATATATATTTACAGCAGGACATTTACTAAATATCTTCATGAAACATGATCTTTACCTAATTTTCTAACAATTTTGACATAAAAGTAACATCTATAATGTTAACCCATACAATGCATATTTGCCTATTATCAAAAATGCAACATTAGACAAATTTTGGGCTCCAGAGTCACAAATATCTGCACAAGCACTGTAATTCTCTGAACACATACCTATGACATACGAGAGCAGGACGGCCAGCAGCACAGCGGCTGCGATTGCAGACACAGCGGCGCATTTCCAGCTGCAGTATTTGGAGGGCTTCTTCAGCTTGAAGGAGCTCCTGGAGAAAGTGTTTCTGGGTAGGAGTCGAGGTGGCGGAGAGTAAACGGTACCACCAGTCAACGGATAACCTGGAGAAGAGCTGCTGAACAGAGGAGTGCTCCCAGACGGCGTCTTGAAGAGGAAGTGCCTTCAAGAAGAAATAAACAGAGAAAATGATCACTACTTTTTTATCATGAATGCCAGCAGGAGGCAAACCTCTTCCTCATCATACAGTAACACTTGATTAAACGTTCTGAAATTTGTCAATATGCCCATGGCTTTACAGGGCTTTGATAAATCTCATAAAAATCTGCCTTAATGAGCTAAATGACCAAAAAAAAAAAAAGTCTGTTCAAGCTTGTTTAATGGCTAACTCTGGGGAGCAGGCTATTTGCTTCATTCACATTTTTCAGCTTATGTTGTTCATTTTGTTCTCATGCTGTAGTGTTCTGCTAACAACCAGGAGTTCAATTTGTGCATAATGGCTTTAAATGAGGCTCATTTAACACAGCTCTGGTCATTTAAAAAAGTATTAGGCGTTAGACTACTACTTTGTGTACTAGTAGTGGAGACTGAATGCATCATAAAGACAAGTTTAATCGAGTGGTCAGTAGTGAGAATTGATTTTTGCTGTTGTTAAATCCCTGTGCTTGCTAAGACGGATGCTGAATAATACAGTTCGGAACTGCACTGAACCTTTATTTTTTTAAAAAGGTTGTCAGGATCTAATACTATCTGAAAGATATGCATGACATTACATATAGGCCAATACATTCAAATATTGTAAACTAACATGAATTTTCTGTGCCTGAATACGAAACAAAAAAGCAAACAACCCAGAAGGTTGTCATCAAAACACCAACAAAAAAGTAAAAAAAAAAAAAATGAAAATATAAAATAGGAAAATTTCTTTAATCTCAATTGACTACCCTGATGTTAAAATGACATCAGATTGACAACTTAACATAGGTGTCCAAATCCAGAGTAAATTTTAATTCACATATCTGGGTATACCATGGTATAGTAGAATAGTAAGAGATCAGACTTGGATATATTGTGAGCCTCAGGCACCACCGTTTCTTCATTCTCTTGTAAATTCCATGAGTGTAAAACCCCGGTAGAAAGCAGGTCAATCAGAAGACAAAACAAACTGTGATGAAACTCTGCATTTGCATGTATGCCTTCTTTAGGTCATTCATCCGTATATGACGAGCAGCTGACGTCATAAAAAGAAAATCGACTCATAACCAGCTCTGAGATCATAAAAAAAGCTCAAAAGAAAAATCATTAATATGCACGACTTAGGCTGTGTTTAATAAGCCAAATGTTTTCTAGTAGTACAACAGTGATAATTTCCTTTGCTTAGTTATTATAAGCGTATTTTAGACTTGCTATGAATTTTGGACTTTTATTTTGAAAATGTGCGTTATTGGGCAACGACAGCACAAGTCATGTTTCAAGCTCACCTGCAAAATGCAAGATTTACAGATTACACATTTATTCATCTCCACTCCGAAAAGGCATAAGGCAAGTTTATTAATCGTGTAGAAATTTGATGCTTATGTTTTAAAGGACTCATGTATACTTAGTCTTGTCAAACACTGAGATCAATTATCATATATTCATGCAGAAGTTGATATTAATTCCTGGATGTGTTTTCTTTGACCATGGCTTCAAAATGCAATGCAATACATCTACATCACTCTCTTTTGTCAAGCTAAATGATAGTTTAGCCTTTATCCACAACAGATCTGAGCAAAAAAGGTTATTGTTACTCTGATTGGGTTTATAATTGTCTCTGTAAGAGCGGCACATCAGAACCGAGCTCATTAATATTTACGACACAAACCATATATGGTCAATGAAAAACTGATTTTATAGGTATTTTATGGAGCAATAAATGAGCTTATAAACCCGTTTCTGGAGATTTGTTGAACTTACTGGGAACAGTTTAACTTATTAAACCATTGCAGTACGTGGCACCTTTAAAACTTTTCTTATATTATAATACTTTTGTGTTGTTATTTTGATGATTGAATGGGCATCAATGTGTGAATGTCAAATGAATGACAAGGTTTTGACATCAAGTTGATTTGCATTGTTGACTTGTTTTTAAACATCATGAAACATCTAGATCAGAGATGTTCAAACTAGGGCATGGGGCCAGAGTTGGCCCATGGTAATCTTTGATTTGGCCCACCATCCCATCTAAGTAGAGAAGGAGAGTGATGGGGATGGTTTAGAGAGTGGCTGTTTCTCAATTCCAAGAATGCAGAGAACGGACTTGCCTTCCTATGGAGACCAGTCTTGCCAGGTGTCCTCAAAAGAACAAACTCTGAAGACCGCGAAGACAGAGAACGCGTCCTGTGAGAAATGAGATGCTGTGTTCTTCCTGATGGTCACACGACCTTCACGTGTTTTTCATAGAATATTATTTAAACATTAAAGCATTCATACAGGGATGTATTGTTTTTCCCCTTTTTAAAATATACATATTGCATAAAAACATTATAGAAAAATCTAAAATAGATTTTAATACGAATTTCAGCCAATAAACACCCTTAATGTGTTTATTCCTTTATTAAGATGTCCATATGTTTAAATGTTTATTTTTTAGGGAAACTCCTGAGGTAAATAAGTCATATTTCTGAACTTTAACAATAAATCTATATAAAATGCTGCGCTTCCCTCCTCCAGTCGCAATGACTTCTGGGACTTCGAGAGGGAGATCAGTTTGCATCATTGTGTCCTCGATATCAGGAACACACAAGAACTGTTCTTGCAGTCTTGAGTATTGAAACTGAGCTTTGGCAGCTGATGATGACATTACACGAGAACACAAGGACACAAGACTGCTGAAGAACGCATACTGAGAAACAGCACAAGTCCTTTAATATTGATTGCAACCTTTCGTTTGTTTTTTTATCGCTACAAGGTAACTGAATTTAAATGTTTCAATTAAATGGTGTTACCCCAGATTAATAAATGGATTGAAGAGAAAATGAATGAATGAAATAAATGGTGTAAAGTAATCAGATTTAGTTTAAATGTACACACTGTCAGACAATCCGCTTGTTAAGTGGTGACGTGTTTGTGACGTATGTAATACTGTTTCCGGGTCCAAGCCGCCATTCATTTGAGTGGAGAAATCATTTGTTTATGATCATGTTTTATTTCTATCACACATTAAAGTTAATTTTATATAAAATCATAGTGTACAAAACAATCTCTGGGCTTGCTGCATAACAAATACCAAAAATTTAACAATTTATAAAAAAATTAATCTCTTTCTGGCCATCGGATATTAGGCATGGACATATATACTGCGATCGTCATTTTCGAAAGCCTTAAATCGCTTTGTAAACGTTTATTATTACCATTTCACGAGTCTCCCCATTCAGTTGAATATAGCGCTTGGACCCGGAAGCCGCTTCGCGTGACGTCACACTTAACAAGCGGATAGAGGACAAATCAAGGTGTATCAAGGTGTATTTAGCATTGAACTCCAATTTTCAACTTAAATTTTAATTTAAATGGCAAAAGAAAATTATAATTTATTTTTGTTTTATAATTTATTATAATTTATTTTTAGTTATAATTTAACTTAATAGGATTTAAAGTATTGTTGTCCAATAAATTAGGAAATGACCCATAGCATTACCCTTTAATGTAATATAGTTTGGCATATTTACCTTTGGCCCATGACTCTCGATGATATTTTGTTTTTGGCCCTTTAAACCAAAAAGTCTGGGCACCCCTGATCTAGATCTTTCTATTCATAAAAACTGATTTTCTCTTTTTTTCCTGTAAAAAACACCAACACTGCTAACACTTATATATTACACCCTAATTCTGTTTTGGTTATTCCAGCATAATGATCATGATGAAGTTTCAGGAAACATTAGTTTTTGCACGCCAATGTTGCCAAATCTGGTGGAGTCAAAGGTGGGCTGGAAGGGGGAGAGTGTGTTTGTGTGTTTGTGGAGGCAGATGGGAAGGGGATGAAAGCAGACGACAGTTGACCAGGAAGCTTTGATGAGCACTAGCTTTGGCTCAGACTGAGCTCCTATGCTAAACCGGCCTCAGATCTTTGTCCATGTGTCTTGTTCGGGACAGGAGGTCCATTCGGACTCCACCAGGCCTCTCTGTTGCCCTCCTGCTAGGCATCCAACTGCTCCCTGCTGCCCACAGCCAGAACGACCCATGAACACTGGCCAGCAGCTCAGTCCTGTGAAACTCAGCTACAAATCTATCGCTATTCTGCAGATCTGAGCTGAACTTGTGTAACAGTCAAGAAGAACATCTGACAGTGTTTATTCACCTTCATGTCATTGTGCGCTGCTGTTCAAAGGCCTGGGGTTGGTTTAAGGATTTCTTTACTGTTTTTGAAAGTCTCCTAGTCTCAATAAGGATGCTTCTTTCTTTCTTTCTTTCTTTCTTTCTTTCTTTCTTTCTTTCTTTCTTTCTTTCTTTCTTTCACATGCACATTTCACATCTAGTCCGTTTGGACCTGATGAATAAATTGTATTTTAATTGTTGCTATGTATTTATCATGTTATAATTACTGCAGAACACCTTGTTTGAATAATTAAAATGTAAGAAATTATTTAAATGTTATCACATGGAATTTTAACAATGTATGATCTGTGAATTAGAAATTTATCTCCACTGTAATGAATGGAAATTAAATAAACTGCTGCTTAAAAAATGTCCAAGTTAATAAAATCTAAATATTTGTATGTAATATAACAATATCAACAACAACAACAAGTTTATTTTACTTTAATCAGAGAAAAAATAATACATAATTAAATAAAAATGTATGTTTCATGCTGCATTGGTTTGTCATATATTCATTTTCTTTTCGGCTTAGTCCCTTGATTAATCAGGGGTTGTGCAGATGAAGTGAATGAATCTGACGGTCCTGATAGATTCCATGACAGATATAGCCTTAGCATTTACTTGAGTCAATTTGTTTGTTAAGTCACTTTTTTTTGTCTGAAATCATGGTGGTTTTCATGTCACTATATAATAAGTCATAAAAACTAAAGTTTAACTACTTTATTTTACTTCAAAAGTGCTTTTCAGAGTTTGACAGGTCCTGGTCACTTTGTTCCTCAACTGTATTATAGAAAAGATCAGCGAGTG